CCCCCCCCCCCCCCCCCGCGCGCGCACCCACGCGCACCCCCCTTCTCCGATCGAAAACTAACAGTCTGCGACGGAGGACACTTCTCCTTCTCCCTTTGACCGCCGGTCCCTCGTGAACCGCGTCGCGGCGGGCCTGTTGGGCACGGCCGCGGTAGTCACCACCGCTGCCGGCACCGGCGAGGAGCTACGGTTGCTGACGGGCGTGGATACGGCCGCGTCTGCGTCGGAGCCGGGCACCAAGCAGAGCCCGATCGCCGTCGTCGGGGCGGGAGGCAAGTGGGTTGAGACGAAAAACAAATGGGCGCAAGAGGCTGGATTTTGGGTGTAGGTGCCGTGTGTACCAAGAATAGGCGTCATTGTTGTGGGTGACAGGTATGCATAGGAAGCGTGACGCCCATGCGTGCGTACATGAGCAGGCGGGCAGAGACTGCTGTCCTTGCGCGTCATGTTCCAGCACCGCTGTAGCTCGCGAGAGACCCGCTCACGCACACATGGTGTGACTCTTGCGCATGCCGCCGCCTGTCGTCGTTGGGCAGAGGCACGCCCTTGTTTTGGGGAAACTACTGATGTCCCTCCCCCTCTCTCTCTATTCTCTTGGTTGGCCCTTCCCCTTGCCTCGATCTCGAGAGAGAGAACAGTTCTTCCCTCGATATTGGGGCCTAAACTTGTCGTGACACCTTTCGGCACTTCGATCGGCGCCGTCTACGGGAGGAGCCTACTCCTTCGCGGTTGCGTGGTTCAATCCAGATCTTTGGTTGGCTCCCCTGGTGGTGGAAGGTGTACAGCAATCGGCGTGGTAATTGCTGTGCGGCTACTGATGAAAGCCAGAACGATAGTCGACTTTCGTTGGCCGCAATCGTTTGCTCCCGCTGCCTTCGGCCTGTATCTAGTCCAGACCCAGAACCGTCCAATCTCTAAAACGCATTGGCAACCCAGAGAAACAACCCTCCTCAGATCAAGGCAGGGAAGCAAAGATTCGCCCCGAGCTTTCCCGGTGTCCCCCTCAGCACCCTGAACGACGGACAACCAGTGACCCGTCCCGAAAGGAGGCCACGCGTGGTCAACGGCCCAACAGCGTTAAGGGCAAGCAATCGACAGCCACCCCGCGCGCGCGCACCTTCCGCGAAATTTCTTGTTTTTTTCGTGTCTGTCCAGGCAAGACGGGAAAGCTGGCCGTGGAGGGGCTCTTGAAGCGCGGCAGGAACGTGAGGGCGGTCACAAGGACCGGCGAGTTCTCTCTCCGCGGCGGAGACGGAGGAGACCTGATGACCACCGCCGCGGGCGACGTGACCAAGACGGACACCCTCAAGCAGGCGCTTGCGGGCTGCGGGGCGGTGCTATTCTGCGCTAGTGCCAGCAAGGTGTGTGTGCTTGGTGATCGATGGCGAGCCTGCCTGCTGCCTTTGCCTGCCTTGGCCTGCGATGTTCTGTGGGTTACCTGAAAACCCTCAAGTGAACAACGGTCCAATGCGTGACTCCTTTTGTTCTGTTTGCGTACCTCGTACCCCCACCCAGCCCGTGGTTGAGCAGGAAAGATAAATGTAGTTTCACAGATGTTGAGGCTAGCAGAGTAGCACTACGAAACCTCGACACGGCACGGGATCAACCAACGTCGAAATGATACAGGTTACGGTTGATTCTGTCACCGCCTTTGTGCCTGCAACGGTGAAGATGATGCGTAGGTCTTGACAGCTATCAACCAGCCCGTTACTGTGGGATGGTTGTATGATAATTGCGTGTTACTTGAAGAACTGCTACCGTCGGCGGTGCTTCACCGGCTGGCTGATGAAAACGTCAAGATTCTTGCAGCAGGGCACGGAACCCGAACGCGCTTTCTACTCCGGCGGCTCCCTCGACAGGGGGTCCCGCGAGGGAGACTAGACGATAGGGGGTGAGGCAGTCTCCGGATTGAGAGAACTTTCACGACACTAGGGGCCTATTCTAAAGTTAAAAGTTGCACCTAAATTGAGCACCCAATTTGGATGGACGCAACTGGGTTTTTGGCCGAAATGGGCTTGCGCCGTATTAACGTCTTTTTCCACACCCAAATACCAATCGAGGTTCAACAACACCCAAATGCGGCGGAATCGCTGCCGCGAGGTGACGTGGTGACCAAACAGGTAGAGCGATAGACCATGTGCACCACACGAGAGCTGTAAAAATATACCGGTACCAGCGCACACCTAAGTATGCATCACAGCAGGCGGTGCCAGTGGTCCAAGCCTCTTCCCCTGGCTTGCTCTACAACTGTTGTTTGGACTGTCTCGCTGTGCACAACCGGCCGTCGGCCTTTGTCATGGCACATTTTGAGAAGCAACCTCCACAGCAACCCAACCAGCGCGAGAAGTTGACACGCTCACAGAATCATTACGATACAGCTATTTCCCGGCAGCGGGTAGCAGGCGATGCGTGTGG